CAGACGATTGGAGCGCCTTCGTTGGCCAAGGTGATGTCCGTGGGGAGAGCAGACAGTGACCCCTGGGCATTCTGCGTAAGTGCAGAGACGAGGGCTGTGCTGACATCCCCAGCCACCCCCTGGCTCATGGATCTCCAAGAGTCACTTGCCAAGCACTTCCTTGTGTCCCACAGGACACGGCCGGCTCGGAGCGCTATGAGGCCATGAGCCGCATCTACTACCGGGGGGCCCGGGCTGCCATCGTCTGCTATGGTAAGGGCATGGAGGATGTGGAGGTCCCAGGATCCTGGGACAGAGTGGTGGCAGCACTGGTGGGTCAGGCACTGAGGAAAGCGTTGGACAGACCCTGACGCCCCTCTCTCTCCAGATCTCACCGACAGTGGCAGTTTCCAGCGAGCCAAGTTCTGGGTGAATGAGCTGCAGAACTGCGAGGAGGTACAGGGGTGCTGGGGGGCTGCACAGCCTCACTGTGGGGCAGGGGGGCTGCTGGTAAAGACATGGGCACATGCCTCCCATCCCTCTCCCTGCCCCAGGGCTGCCGGATCTACCTGTGTGGCACCAAGTGTGACCTGCTGGAGGAAGACAGGAGGAAGCGGGGGATTGACTTCCATGATGTGCAGGACTATGCTGATGGTACAGCCACTGCTGGCCCTTCCTGGGGCTCCCGCAGCACAGGGGGTGGGGGGCATGGGGGGATGGATCTGTGTGCAAGGGGCTCTGCCCTTGCCCTGAGCCCGCAGCAGATCCGGTGGCACCAGGGTTCCGTGTGTGGTGAGGTGCCAGCTCTACCAGGGACCTCCCTGGGCACAGCATGTCCTGACATGGGCAGGCACGTGGCCAGCTGGGCCAAGGGGCCAGGAGCCCTGTCCTGGGTCTCTGCCAGCCCCCTGTCAGCAGCTGTGCCTGAGGGGTGACTCTGGGGGCAGCTGAGCCCTTGGGCCATATCCTGCACCTGCAGCAAGTGCCAACCTGGACCCTTGTTTCAGAGATCAAAGCAGACCACTTTGAGACCTCCAGTAAGACGGGCCAGAGCGTGGGTGAGTAGCCCCTCACTAGGGCCATGCCATGGGCAGAGCAGGGCCAGGGGGCTCTGCCTGGCGGGGGCACCCACACCCACTGTGCCACCTCTCCCCCCCAGATGAGCTGTTCCAGAAGGTGGCCGAGGACTACGTCAACTTTTCCGCCTTCCAGGTGATGACAGGTGAGTAGGTAGGAGCTGTCTCTCCCCAGGCACCCTCTCCTGTGCCTCTGCTGAGTGTGGAATATGAGCAATGGGGGGTCTGGCAGGGCCCTTCCTCACCTCTGCCCTGCTTGGGGCTGCTGCAGCTCTGTGCTGGGGATTGTCCTGTGGAGGTTGGGTCCCATCACAGCATCCTCGTCCCTGCTTAGGCCAGGCTCAGCATGTCCACACAGCTGGGCCATGATGGCCTTTGGTGTCCAGGAGCCTCGCTAGGCTGCAGGACTGGCTCAGCTCTTCACCAGGCCTGCCCCAGCGTGCTCAGCCTGGCTGCACCTCCCGCTCTGGGCTGTGCCATTGCCTTGGGCTGTGCTGTGGCCCTGGGCCTTGCTGCTTCTCCAGGGGCACCAAACCCTCCTCATGGGCACTGCTGGGGCCCACGCCTGGGACCAGCAGCTTTGGGGCTGCCACACAGCATTTTGTGGCGTGGATGTGCCAGCAGCCTG